CCAGAGGAGGTGGGGAGGTCTCTCGTCTGCCGTGGATGCTGTTGCTCTGGCCTTAAGTGTTCCTCCGCCTGCCGTCGCCTCCAACCAGGGCGACTGCGGTGGGCTTTTCACTGACGTGGCCGCGTCGATGCGAGCTTGGCGCGATGACCCCAGGCTTCTGACGTTCCCATATTGTCCTTGGGGCAGCGGATCCAGGACGACCTCGGGAAGTGCGTTAGAACCTTGTCGGGGCAAGCTCGCAAAGACTGGCCGGCCGGGCTGCTCGACGGCATCAACCAAGGGGCCCGTAGGGCCCATCAGATCTCCAAGGATCCCGCGCCTTGGAGGCCTACCAGCGCTTTGATCAGATTTGGGTCCTTGGTCTCCGACCCCCAGGAGCTGCCCCGTTCGGAGCGTGACAAGTTCGGGGCCCTCTGGAGGGCCCGTGAAACTCCTGGGCGCCTGTGGTACTCTAGGCTGGTTCCGCTCCCCTTGATTTCCCCCGATGAGATTCGGAGGATCTCGCGTTCTTTTTCCAGGGGGTCTGCTGTCGGGCTGGATGGCTTCCACATGCGGCACTACCAGTACCTGTCCGACGCCTCGCTGCAGTGCTTGGCGCAGATTTTCTGCGTGGCTGAGTCCGCGGCGCCCCTGCCCAAGCAGCTCCGTGCTTTCATAGTGGCTACGGTTCCCAGATCGGTCGCTGGATTCCGCCCGATTGGGGTCTTTACGAGCCCCTACCGCCTCTGGGGGCGTTGCAGGAGACCCTGGGCTGAGGCCTGGGGGCTGGATCGCGATCGGCCTTGCTGGGCCGCTGGGGAACTTCGAAGCGCCGCGGACACTGTGTGGAGACAGGCAGTGAAATCGGAGACCAGCGCGGCCTCGCAGCTCCACTCAGGGGGATTATTCTGGGACATGCTGAAATATTACAGGCAGATCCCTCTAGCGCTGCTCGAGCAGCGGTGCCACAGGCTTAACCTCCATTCTGTTCTGGCGGGGTATGTCTCTGCGCTTGCCGCTCGGCCAGGTTCATGGTCCTGCGCGGTGTGGTCGCTTCCGCTCTTTACGCCGAGTTCGGCGTGTTGGCTGGGTGCTCGATGGCGACTTCGATGATCAATGTGTTCGGGATCGACACCGTGCCCCTGGGGACCGAAAGCCACTCTCGATATCTACATCGGTGACTCGGGATTGAATTGCGAGGGCACCATCAGCCGCATTGTCTCCAGCCTTCGTGTTTCTGCGGAGGCCTTGCGAGTTGTCATCGCTGATCTGATGCAGGCTTAGATTTCCATGGGCAAGGTTGCTTGTGTTTCGAGCTCCAGGGCGGTCCCGCTCCCCGTCCCCAGGGCGAGTTTGGGGCCTCTGTTGGGCCGCGGCGCGAAACCGCGGTCAACCTGGGGGCCGATGTTACAGCTGGCCTGCCTCGCAGGGTGCGCGGTAGAACTGCCTGGGCGAAGGCTCGCATCTCAGCGGCGGCGCGCAGGACGCGCCGCCTCGCTAAGCAGCTAGGCCGCCGGGCGACTGAGGTTTTTTATCCAAGGCCCCCGTCGCGGGCCTGCAGCGCGGCTCCGAAGCCCACGGGATGTCGGATGCGGAGTTGACCAAAGTTCGCCGCGTGCGCGCCTCGACGATGAAGCCTTCGAGTGGAAACCGGAGTTAGCCCATTCTGGCCCGCATTGAACACGATCCTGCTTGGTTTGGCAGTGTGCCCCCTCCCCATCGCTCGGTATTGCAAGGAGCTTTGGCTTCTCCAGACTCGGGCTATCCCGTGGGCTTCATCTTGGGGGCAAGTCAAACTTGCATGGGGTGCTACGTGGCGCTCGCCCCCGAAGTCTTGGAGATCGGTCCGAGGTCCTTGTGGAGCTATGTATTTATCGCTGCAACGACTTAGCTGGACAATGATGGACCCCTTCGCTATGGTGGGCGAATATGGTAAACTGGTCCGCCTCATGTTCACCCCTCCTGCTCTAGTGAAGCGCTCCCTCAAAGCATCGGTGTTGAAAGGGTTGGGGACCGAAGTGGGCTCCGAGTATTGCGACGGGCGTCGGCTATGTGTCGACATGCTCTTTCGGGCCCTTGCCTCCGAAAAGTATATGTTCGTGCTGTTGTGTGTAGGGCGATTTGGCCTTTGGCTCGCGCTCGCGAGAAAAGGTATCTGGTGGGGGACCTTTGCCCTTTGTGTGGCCAGGCTGGAGATGCGATGCTCCATGGACTGGCGCTGCCCCGCTTGTGAGAAGGAGCGAGCCGATCACATTGGAAACGAACTCTCGGACAAGATTCGGTCGGAGCTATTGGGCCCGTTCCCTGGTTTCGAATTCCTCTGCGAGGCGGGCCTTGTCCAGCGCCCTGGCAGTGGCGTTCCTCAGCCGCTCTCTCAGGAACAAGCTACGGATGCCGTCCAGTTCTGTATCTACCCAGAGGCTTTCGCCGATGAGCAGCTCCCTCCGCCTGGCCCAGGGGTTCGGGAGCTCTCGGGGAGGTTGTGCGGCGTCGGGTCCTGTTTGGTTCAGCGAGAGTGGTCGAGCCTTGGCTAAGATGTGCGGGCCGCTAAGGTGATTTTATCCTCAAGCGAGTGTTGCTACTGAATTTGCTGCCCCTGCTAGTGCTGCCTCAGTGTTATCTGGAGCTGCTCACTTTTATTCCGATTGCCAGGTAGTGGTCAACGATTTCGGCAGAAATCACCAGGACCGCCTCCACCCTGACAGGCCCAACGCTGGAGTTGTTATGCAGGCGGACGCTTTCGGTCTGGGCTTTCTCCGCGGCGTCTCCAAGGTTCGGGCCCGCAGGGGGGACGACGAGGCCCTTCCGTGGGCCGAGCGTCTCCACATCATCGGAAACAATGCAGCTGACGGCGCCGCCAACGAAGGCGCTTTAACGCATCCCAGGCTGTCTGAGACGGAAACAGCTGGGAACGATTTGGCGCACCTGATGGAGAGATGGCCTCGGGCGAATCTCGAAGGGGTTGCCCGTGCCGAGCCCCCGCCCCCGCAGGTCAAATATCCGAGGCCACCGCATGTTTGGAGTTGGGTCGGACGCTACTGGCAGTGTTGCCACTGCCTCCGGGGGCCCCGCTCCTCGGCGAATCCAGCTCCAGGAATTTGCGACCGCCTTTTAAGAATTGATCCCGCCAAGTTGCGGGAGCTCGAGCATCGTTGCCTCGAGGTAGATTTCAGCGACGGAAGTTTTGCGTGTGTCTGCCAGGTCTGTGCTGCGTTCACGGCTGGAGGTCAGAGGAGGCGGCTTGCCAAGCGATGCCTTGGCAGCCCGCCTGCTTTGAGCGAAGTTTGGGCGAGATTGGGCAACAGGTCTCCACCGTGATCACAAGAAGGTCGGGGCCACTTCCGATCTCGAAAAGGGGTTTTGTGACTGTGGATGTCAAAAAAAACTCCCTCGTCCTTCCTCCTCCTCCTCCTCCTTCTCGTCGTCCTCCTCCTCCTCCTCCTCCTCCTCCTCTTCCTGCTGCTCCTCCCTCCTCCTCCTTCCTCCTCCTCCCCCCTCCTCCCTCCTCTCCCCTCCGTCCCTCCGTCCCTCCCTCCCTCCCTCCTCCCTCCCTCCTCCTCCTCCTTCCTCCTCCTCTCTCCTCCTCCTCATCCTCCTCCTCCTCCCTCCTCCTCCTCCTCCTCCTCCTCCTCCCCCTCCTCCTCCCTCCTCCCTCCTCCTCCTCCCTCCTCCCTCCTCCCCTCCTCCCTCCCTCCCCTCCCTCCCCTTCCTCCTCCCTCCTCCTCCTCCTCCTCCCTCATCCTCCTTCCTCCCATCTCCTCCTCTTCCTGCCTGCTCCCTCCTCCTCCTCCTCCTCCTCCTCCTCCTCCGCCTCCTCCTCTCTCCACCCTTCTCCTGGCAGCCAGGAGCGAGCGGAGCCGGCCCGTCGAGCGGGCCCAGCCCGCCCAGTCTCAGTTCTGTAAGTCGGGCGTGCCCCTTCTACTGGAGGGGTATTCAAACATACGGCGGCGGCATTGGCTACGGAACGCCTTCCTGGGGACCAGACCCTGGCGCATTCCTTATTGTTTTAAGGCGAGGTGGGTGGCCCACGTTTGGCCGCCCATCGGTCGCGAGACCCTGTATTCCTCAGCGGAGGCATCCTGATCTAAAACCTCCACCGCAGTCCCCAAAAAAGTCTTGGGACGATTTTTCTATGATTTCCTGACTAGTTTTGCATATGGAATGGCCTGCGACCAGTGCCGCCGATCCGAGGCGCTCCGGATGCTGGTGGTTGACACGGCGACGACGGCGACGATGGCGAATGAAAAACTGGTTCTTGAATTCAAAACACCAGTTTTTGAATTCAAAAACCATTTTTTTGCATTCAACAGCCAGTATTAAGTTTGCATTTTGTTGGCGTAGGTTTGTCAATTTTTCTTTTCTCGTCCACAATCCCCCTGCAGGAAGACATGCCTGACCTGATCTTAGTTTTCGGATGCGCCCTCGAGGCTCCCTGCGGGGCAGACCCCTGCGGGGTGCACGACAGGAGAAGACACGACGCTGGAGTTTTGGGATCGGGGTTCCAAAATTCGAAGGAGAAGACTCGTCATAAACATAAACCTTTGGCGTTCCGCGCGGTTTTCTTGGAGCCGCGCTTGGCCCCCCCCTGGCGGCGCCTCCAGCGCCGCCCCTGGGGCGCTCCGCGCGCCAGGGAGAAGGGGTCCAACGCAAATCCAAGAAATCCTCGCGGAGCGCCAACAGTTCATGTTTATGCCGTTTTTCTTTTTTCTACGAGCTTAACGAGTTGCTGTCGCCTAGGGGGGGGCCGACGAACTCGACGTCGACGGGTCCCTCATGTCATAGGCGCGCCCTATCATCCTGCAGTTCTTCGACACGGCGTGCCCACAGTGGCCCATTGTCGTGTCCGTCATCGCCAGCATTGTCGCCGTTTCCATCATCGCAGCTAGTCGTCATCGCTGTCACAGTGGGCGACGTCACAGTCATCTCTGTTCGAGCGGTCGTAGGATTTATCGCCGTTGGAATTTTCCGAAGGGTAAGCTCTCTTTGTCTGGCGCGGGAGTGTGGGCGGGGGGGGGCGGGTCATGAGCTGCTTCCGTGCCGTGGTGACGCCCATAGCCGCCACCGCCGGGGCGCTCCTGATATCTGCTTGGCTGCTGTACGTGTCGGTGCCTGCCCACCTCTTCCTGGGCATTCTGGCCACCGAGCTCATCTCGTGCACAGTGGGTGACGTCCTCAGCTGCGGAGTTTAGGGAAGGGAGCGAGGAGAGGGAGGAGGACGAGGACGAGGACGAGGAGGAGGAGGAGGAGGAGGAGGAGGAGGAGGAGAAGGAGGAGGAGGAGGAGGAGTGGAGGAGGAGGAGAGGAAGGGAGGAGGAGGAGGAGGAGGAGGAGGAGGAGGAGGAGGAAGGAGGAAGAGGGGAGGAGGAGGATGAGGAGGAGGAGGAGGAGGAGGAGGGAGGAGGAGGAGGACGAGGCCGAGGACGAGGAGGAGGAGGAGGAGGAGGAGGAGGAAGAGGAGGAGGAGGGGAGGGGGAGGTGGAGAGGAGGAGGAGGAGGAGGAGGAGGAGGAGGAGGAGGAGGTGGAGGAGGAGGAGGGGAGGGGAGGAGGAGGAGAGGGGGAGGAAGAGGAGGAGTAGGAGGAGGAGGAGGAGGAGGAGGAGGAGGAGGAGGAATACTACTACTAATAATAATAAAAATAATGATAATAATACTACTAATAATAATACTACTAATAATAATAATAATCATAATAATAATAATAATAATAATAATAATAATAATAATAGTAATACTACTACTAATAATAATAATAACAACACTAATAATAATAAAACTAAAAAATAAGAAGAAGAGGAGGAGGAGGAGGAGGAGGAGGAAGGGGAGGAGGAAGAGGGAGAGAGAGAGAGAGAGAGAGAGAGAAAGAGAGAGGGGAGCCCCTCCCCGTGTTGGTCCTTGAGCTCCAGGGGCGGAAGGGGGCGGCAGCACGGGCGAGCTCAAGCCCCCGCTCTCCCCCCCCGCGCTCCGTCCGACCAGACCGCTACGGTGGAGACCCATGCCAAGGAAACACCCTGTTGCCTCCTTGGTGCCCTGGGTGTCTTGGTTTTCGATTGATTTGGCATGGCAAGCGCGACAATCCCACACCAAACATCCATGGACTTCCTGGGGTCTCAGGGTGGGTTTTCTAGTGGTAGGTTTCTTGTGGTCGGCCTCCACTGTATAGGAGGACCCTCGTAATCTTCTCAGCCTCAGTTGCAACCTTACCTTAGGCTACCTACGGGCCAAACTGTTACGAAGATACGTCTGCCCATGACCAGGAATCGGCACAGGACCTGGCTTGCCCCGGTCCACGAGCTGAGACGAGCCATAATGCCCACAACCGATGCAGAACCAGACCTGAAGCCCCGAATGGTATTGCAACTGGTGCGATTCGTGAGCCCACCCCCCAGCCAGATGTAGACGAGCCCCTTTTGTGGGAGAGAAAAGACAAGTACCCCAAACGTTGGTTCATCGGTGACATGGTGCGCTGCTCCACTCGGGCAGCCCATCCTTCGAGGTGGTGCTGAAGATCTGGTGTACGATCGGCCGTCTTCACTGGGAACGTGCCAGCGGGAAGCTGCCAGGGTGTTTGCACGGGGCGACGACGAGGACGACGCAGGAGGAGGGAACACGGAGGAAGGATAATGGATGACGGCGAGGAAGACGAGAAACGAAACGACCTGTTCACCGCCTGTCTGCGTGCGAAGTGCACTTGAGGATTGTGGAAGACCAGGCGGTGGCGGAACGGACAAGAACTCACCGTCCCCACGGTTTTTTTTTCCGATCATCAGCACCAACTCGTTTTCCTTCCAAGAGCCGATGCCGAGTTAGAGTCGCTTTTCTTTCGACAGGGTGCAAACGGTTACGCATGACAACATCAAATGGAGACCCCTCAGTTGAAATGTCAGCCACAGCGTCTGCTGCCGCATTACCTAAACTTATACATTCGGGATGCTGCTTCTTGTGCACTGTTATCCCATCCAAGTAGGAATTCATGAACATGACTACATCACACGGAGGATCGCGCTTCTGAGTAAACTCCGATCCGAGGTTTTCCCAGAAGTTCGCGTCTGGGCCCTCAGGGGCCAACCACTTCTTATCATAGAAGCCAGAAGCAACACCACGATTATCACTTACTCAAGTGAGAAAGTCTCACGTGGTATGACACGCGAACAGCAGAGCATGTAACTAACCCCTGGCTACAGTCTGCTTCGTGTCAGCCAGAGGCCTGTGCATGGTGCCTATCACAGACAGGGGCTCCTCATCGTTACGCGTGCAGTGAGTGCCAGGGGAACTCAACTTTAACGTTGGCAGCCCCAACCCTACGGAGCCTGTGGTCCATGATGTCTTTACCCCCGCCAGCTTCGCTGAACATACAAATGGGCCTGCTCTGAATCCGCACTCCCGCGGAACCCTTCTCAACATTCAGCAGAATGCAACCTCCACATTTCCAGCCGGGCTCCAAGCGGGGCGGCGGAATCTCTGTCCGGTTGGACGGGAGGAGCCCCCTCAGCCCAAATCGCTCCTTTGCCTCGTGTGGCCGCCGAGTCCTTGCTAGCATCGCAGCTCCAGGCTCAGTGGACATCGTCTCGGGCTCCTTGCGGCATGTCGCACAAAGGTTGACCACCTTCGTCGGTGCCCACTCATGCCGTCGTTGCCTTTGGCAAGTTCCTCCCGTCGCAGTCGCCACTATCAGCTCCGACAGCCCGTGCCCATGAGGCACATCTCGCAACTGGCGTGCGAGCTGACCATGAGTGTATATGTCTGCCCTTTTCTCGAGGCATCATCTACAGTAATGCTTACTCGCTTGCTTCCGCTACATCTGACGATCATGGCGAAATTCTGCAATTAAATCTCTCGCAGTGTCCACCGCAGCACGGGGTGAGAAGGCTTCACGCGGGAAGTTCCACTTCACGATCTCCGGTGAAGCTGATTCTGCCGTTTTCGGCGTCCAGCCAGTCTCCAGCAGACACGAAATCACCACTGACAAAGGTCCCCTGATGTGTCGCCACCTCCGTGATGGTTCAATGCTCATGAGGTTTTCCATTGTCGCTTGCCAAACCTTCTTAATGGCTGGCTGCGTGGAGCTACCCTCGTGCGCTCACATCCTGATTTATAGTTGAAGGCATCCAACTGGCATCTTGGCCATTGGATCGGTCTCGGGACATTTGAGCGCCAACAAAGTTGTCATTCACCTTCCTGCACTAGGGGCTGCAGAAATGACCCCTAGCCTCGTTCTGAAAGTCTGAAGCTTATTACAACACGTTCCATGCAGCTGGTGTCCGTGTGGTCCTGCCGCATCTGACCCTTGCTTTTCAGACCTCACTATCATCTTGTATTTTCTGGATGCTCCCCCAACTTTCTTGGATTTTCTGGATCTTGCGAAGCATAACGCTAGACCTGACAATTATTTTAGTCCGAACTGGTCGCCCATGTCTACGTCCACCCGCCAATCCACTTCGAGGTACGCAATCTGAGGTCTCGCTTCCAATGGGAAGCCTGCTCTGCGGACGCACCGAGCAACATGGCTAGCGTCCTCCGTATGTGAAAAACAACTGCACTCTTGACCGCTATCTGCAGCCTTCGTTCCTTGAGCTTCTCGCACGTCTCAATCAACATCCGTGGAAGCCTTCTGCGTACCATCGATCTCGATCCATTGAACATCTGGCGGATGTCGTCGATCCAGGCCCTGTAAGAGAATTGTGGACGTGCTGTCGTTATGGACTGAAGCACAACGAATGCCATCGCTCTGGCAGCCCTGGTCCCAGACGTGAGCGCTTGCACCACTGATTGCTTAGGAAAGAAAGGCTGCGAAAGAGACCCCGACTGTCGCAGTGTCCTCGGAGCTGCGCACAGCAGCATCTCAGGGTGCGGTTTCTGCGCAGGGAATCCCAGCCGCAAAGAGCATGATTTCAATCTACACCGAGCGATCGTGCCACGGAATCCCCTTATTTGCACGAGTTCATTTCCCAAGGGCTCGTCTAGTTTGGCTGCCAGTTCTTCATCCAGTACCCTTGCACATACTCCTCTCAATGCTGCATCTCCTTCTGCTTTTGCATCGCACCGTGGACGCGGCTCATTCAGCAACGTGGGGGTCCCAGGCCTGCGACAAGACGCGGCTGAGCAGAGGCACCAGCCCAGTCACTCCATCACCGTGGTCGCGCGGCTTGGGTATCCTTTGTCCGATAACGAGCTGCGTCTGAGCAGGCGAACATGGGCAGCGCCAAATCGGACTGCCGCTCATAATTTGTGGGAGTGGCGCGATCCACCCCCTGCCCAATGCTGCTTCTCATCTTCTTCGTCGCTCTCCTGATTTCGTCAGGCTCCAAAGGTGACGTAAGATCCAAACTCGCCGCTTGGCGCGCCTCATGGACGGAACGAGTCAGATCCTGGTGCTCGTGTATCGTTCTATTTAGGCACCTTCTCATCAATGATGTCCTTCGGTGATGTCAAAATCTCACGGTCACTACGAAGCAATTCCTGAGGCGTCTGTCGTTATTCTTGGATCGACCGATGCAGTGACCGAACTGCCTCAGGCTACTCCAACCAAGTTCTGAGCTTTTCCACTGATTCATTCAGGGCTTTGGCTTGGGCGCGCTTCCCCGCCATGATTGTCAAAGCTGATAACTTCTTGATTGCACTAGCTGGTGGACTGGAAATGGTTCTCAGCGCTCTCACCACACTGGAAGCAGGCCGGCGATGCCCTCTCAGGCATGGTGTTGGCCAACGTCCCGCGCGCATCCATCAAGAGCTTGATCTGATTCGACCCGTTGATACGTTCATGATGCCGCAGCACTCCAGCCATGATGGTGCCACGCTGCGTCCACGCGTCAGCGATCGAGTCCTGAAGCGGTTGCACCTCGCCCAGCGCCGCCCCCTGCCGCCCTGCTGAGTTATGGAACCTGGCCGCCGCGGCCTTCCGCGGTCAAGCTGGGGGTTTGACATGAGTGATGCGTGCAAATGGCCTCCTCGAGCGTGGTGATCCACGCAGCACCCTGGGCGCTGATGGTGCCACGATTTTTTGAGACAGAACGACTACCGATCGACTCCTGGAAGTACACAGGCACATGACCCGCATCCGACGCCCAGTTCGGTGGCAAAGCATGGGAGCCTGGCATACCTCTCAATCCCGCCTTCAGCGTCGACTCGCGTCCAGAGTCCATGAGATAGCGCCGCTTTCGCGTCGATTTAGCGTCGATCTCGCGTCGATTTTGGCGTCGATTAGCGTCCATTTAGCGCCGATTCGCACGAGCCGGCAAGATGGTATGGGAGGCTCCCATGAGCTGTCCCCTGAGACTCGGGACACGCGAAAGGGGGGGATTGGAAAAGGGGGGGTTACGAAATTTGCTGCATGCAGCTGGTTTCGGCCCCACTGAGGGGCCCATTCCTCGATACATAGTCGCCTCCGGCGCCGGGAGGCGCCGGGAAAATCAGCTACGCGAGCTGATTCTCAAACCCCCCCTTTGCTACCCCCCCCCTTTCGCCCGACCCGAGAGACCCAGCAGCCGCCCAGCACTGCTCCCACGCCTGATCGGAAACCTCGGGACCGGGGCGCTCGTCCCGGGGGCCCGTCCTGGCAGGCGAAGGAAGAGGAGGAGGAAGAGGAGGACGAGGAAGAGTAATAGTAAGAGTAAGAAGAAGACGATTACGAAAACAGTACTAATACTATTATTAAGAAGACGAGTGATAATAATAATACAGTACTAATATTATTCTTATTACGAGGAAGACGAATACGAATCCAGTACTCATAATATTATTGAGAAGACGAGTGATAATAATAAGCAGATGATGATGATGATGCTGATGATGATGATGATGAGGAGGAGGAGGATGAGGATGAGGATGAGGATGAGGATGAGGATGATGATGATGCTGATGATGATGATGCTGATGATGCTGCTGCTGATGATGACGGTGATGATGAGGATGAGGATGAGGATGAGGATGATGATGATGATGAATATGATGATGATGATGATGATGATGATGATGATGATGATGATCATGATCATGATGATGAGGATGATGATGATGATGATGATGATGATGATGCTGATGCTGATGCTGATGATGATGATGATGATGATGAGATGATGATGATGATGATGATGATGATGATGATGATGATGATGATGATGATGATGAGAGGAGCGGAGGAAGGAGGAGGAGAGGGAGGAGGAGGGAGGAGGGGGAAGGTGGAGGGGTGGAAGAGGAGGGGGGGGAGGAAGAAAGTAGGAGGGGGGGAGGGGGAGGGGGAAGAGAGGAGGGGGAGGGGAGGAAGAGAGGAGGGAGGGGAGGGGGGCCGTCCCGGCCTGCTCAAGAGAGGCGGGGGGGGGGCCCGGCCCTCGCCAGGAGGCACTGGGGAAAATCATTCCCTGGGCGACCCAGTCGTGCTCAGGCCGGGAGGAGGAGGAGGAGGAGGAGGAGGAGGAGGAGGAGGAGGAGGAGGAGGAGGAGGAGGAGTATGAGTATGATTATGAGTATGAGTATGATTATGAGTATGAGTACGAATATGAGTATGAGTATGAATATGACCATAAGACGAAGTCTTGACAAATGAAGCCACCCGCTGACCATCTCCAGGTAGATGAGGGAATGGTAGAAGACGTACACGGCCAAAACCGTAGAGATTGACACAAGTTCAGCTGAGGTGAAATCGGCTCGATGCGGCCCTTCATTCAATGATGTGTTCAAGCACCACTGGTCATCGGGCAACCCCCAAAAGGGGATCGCGTCCTCCACAGACAGCCCCACAATATCAATACAAAAGACCGTACCCGCGTACGAAAATGAATTGACCTCTTGATCTCGCCCAAGCCTCTGTGCAAACAAATGGGTCGACAATACACCTATAAGGCCAGAGAAAGTGACAGTGGACACGGCGGGATGGGGAGTGTCCCACGAGCTCCCAATGCATACCAAGAGCCACCACTCCAGCACAACGCTTGAAATACGCCCAGGTAGCAGGCGGGTGGGTCAATGCCAGCGGCTCCCCCCATCAACCCTGCAACCTGGGGTTGATGCCCTCCACGACGGTCGTGACAGCAGCACCCGCTCGCCTGAAATACGCCCAGACCGCAGGCGGGTGGGTCAATGCCAGCGGCTCCCCCCATTGCCCTGCAGCCTGGGACGGACCACGAAGTCGATGCACAGGAAAGCTTGAAAATTGAAATACACAAGGGCCCAGTATGCACCCGTGCAGCACGAAAGCGACGTGGACGAAGTAAAGCACAAAGTCACACGTGGCCAGCACCGATGAGGAAGCTGCTGAGGAAAAACTGCCTGCATTAATTTCTCTGGGTCTTAGCCAACCCATCGATAAAAGCAAGACCCACACCAGTGAATGCTGCAAAATCTCAAGGTTGCCACAAGCACGCCGCGATGAGACGCCGAGAGTGGCTGCATGACCGGTTGGAGCCAAAAGGGGAGCCGCCCGGTCGCGCGCCGCTTGTGCTTGAGGAGGAGGAGGAGGAGGAGGAGGAGGAGGAGGAGGAGGAGGAGGGAGGAGGAGGGGGAGGGAGAGGGGGGAGGGGAGGGGAGGGATGAGGATGAGGGATGAGGAGGAGGAGGAGGAGGAGGAGGAGGGAGGAGGAGGAGGAGGAGGAGGAGGAGGGAGGAGGAGGAGGAGAGAGGAGTGGGGAGGGGGAGGGGGGAGGAGGAGAGGAGGAGGAGGAGGAGGAGGAGGAGGAGGAGGAGGAGGAGGGCCTCCTTGAATGGGCCTCGAAGCCCTGCTCCGTTGCAAGACTGACGGGCTCCTCTTCCCCGTGCTCGCCAGGACCCCTCCCCCCGGGGCTCTGCCGACGGACCAGGTCCGGGAGCTCTACACATTGTTCTTTGGAAAATGCTTTGATTTTTTGGGGGGCCAAGATCCTTTCATTTCTAATTGTTCTATCCTGGGCCTCGTCCTGGCCACCAGGGGGCCAGGAACAGTCAGAAACGAGCACGATCAGAAGTGAGTTAGAAATGAACGACGTGTAGGCTTCCTAGATGGGGTCGGAGTAGATGGGGTCGGAGGATGGCGCCGCATCGTCGATGCATCGACGATGCGGCCCGATGTGGGGCCAGGAGGCATTTTATGAGCGCCTCCTCTCTCCTTTCCCTCTCGCTCCTCGTTTTCGGCCCGCCTTGCCTCACCTCGAGGCTGCGGATGTGGCTGAATAAGAGTATTGCTCACGTGCCTTCTGGACACACGGCGTCTTCTTCTTCTTCTTCTTCTCCCCCAGAGATGCCAGCATGCAGCACAGCTCGGCCCGCCGCGTGTGATGGGGCTGCTCCTGCTCTGCCTGCCGCTGCGCCCTCGGGCCGCCGGCGAGGGCTGGGCCCAGGCTTCTGGCCAGCGTGGCGGGCCCGGGTGCCTGGGGCAGCGCGTCGAGGCTGCAGTCGGGTCTGTCCCCCTAGAGTCGGGGGCGGAAAAGAGGGGGTTGATGACTAGGGGGGGGTGGATATCATGGCGGGGGCCATGAGATCTCCCCAGATTTCATGGCGCCTCTTCTCATGTCATTACGTCCCTGGCCCCCCCGCTGGGCCGCGCACATGCCGCCGGTCATGATTTGCACCCCCCCCCTCTTGGACACCCCCCTCTTGGCCGCTCCCGATAGAGGAGGAGTATCCAGAAATAGGGCAACAAATAGTCTGGGCGAGGTTCTCCTACGATCTTTAGACTCTGTGCTTGATCATTGTTAGGCTATTTTTTGGATTCTTCGTCCAGAAGCCGCCTGTAGGGGGGCACGCCCGACCTCTAACTCTGGGCGTGGACAGGGTTCCAGTCTGGAGCTGGGCTCCAACAGGCCGGATCTCGACTGAGAGCCCGATGTGAGGCTTCGGAGGGACCTGGAGTACATTGATGGCCGACCAAATAGTCGGAGGTCGATCGACCTCCTATCCTGACAGGTCGAACAGCGAATTGGCCGTTTTCGGTTTGCGAGAGGGCGTCGCGGCCGTCATTTTTGCGGGTCCAGGTCCGTTGGTTTCGGTCCTAGGCCGTTTTCACTAGAAGGGTGGAGTACTAAAGGGAGGTTTGTCCACCGCCGATATAAGAGCTCGGGCGGACTGGCTGCAAACAAGACAGTTGATGCGCGATCCCTTCTCCCCCGCTGAGCAGGTGGTCCCGACTGGTGCCTGCACCACTTGTCCGTCAACGGCCGGCAGGAATCATGAATTATTCAATCTGGAGGTTGGCATGTTAAAGCCACCTGCAACTACCCACGGGAGGCGAAATGAAGTCAGGAGAGCTCCTGCATGATGGAACCGAGACAGGTTTCGTACACGCATGCCGATGGAAGGAAACGCGTAAGAAAGCGGTGAGGGCTAACACGAAGCCTTTAAGTTTGATGATTGTGGGCATGCAGCCGTCCCAGCAGGTTTGACCCTTTGCCCGAAAGGCTTTCACATCCTCTGGTTTAGCGAATCGGCTGCACTGGAGATGACCTCTGGCGAGTACCCACTCGCCTCCTTCGGTCGAAACGTGGGCACTGGCCTTACTGGCAATCTTCTGAGCAGGTCGGGCTGTGTTGCCAAGGAGATGTGGCTTGAGCTTGCGAGCGCGAGTGTCCCATGGCAAGTCTCCTGCTGCAGCGTGCGCCTCAGCAAAGGCGAAACCATGATGTGATGGTTGCGATGCGTCGGATCGCCAGCACCTGCCCCGCACGGCGGTCGCATGGCAAAAACTGCGCGTTCAACGCAGGCGCCGCGCAAAGGACGCACCGAAACGCGCCGCGCACGGTCGCGCGCGCCGCAGGGACTCTGAAAGTGCCTTCGGGGCGGCTCAGGGGTGACCAAAGACTGGCAGAGTTTGTGTGCCAGCGCATGTTGAAGCCGCCGCTCCTGCCCTCGGAAGTCGGCCCTGGAGTTGCCGCCCTCAACTCGGACTCTGGCAGACGCCACCGCCACTCGATGGCCGCTGCGCCGCGGCGCCTCTGCCCCGGCCCGTCGCCCCGCGGCATGCTGCCGCCCCGTCCCCTTGGCGCCGACGGCCTGCTGCTGGGCCCCGCACTTCGCCTGCGCCAGCCTGGCCGCCGGCGCGTTCGATGATGCAATTCTTGGCCGACCCGGTCCGGGCGGACAATGTGATGACCTGGGGCTTGTTTTTCCAAGAGTGTGAGAGATTTTGAAACTCGTTTTGGTGACCAAGATTTTTATAACGTGGAGTGGGTTGTGCCGCGCTCGTCTGTGAAATCCTCTGGCCTGGCCTGCTCCCGCTGCGCCCTCCTCCGCCGCCGCCGCCTCCGCCCGCACCGAAGACTCTTGCTTCTGGGACCAAGGAGTTTTTTTGGGGGGACCCGAGCAATTTTCTTCCTTACGGAAGGAGTGCTGCCATAACGGCGGTTCACTTTTTTCCCGTACTAATGTGCCGTTTTGTGCACGCAGTCTCTTGCTGGCTTTCTTGCCGAGAATTTTTCCTGGGACCCCAAAATTCGCTGGTCCCGGCCACCAAACCAAACAACTCCTTGGCCCTGGTGCCGCCGCCGCCGCGGCGGGCCTCCGCTGCCGGCGCCCGCGCCTCGGGCTTGGCCTCGCCTCGCCGTCCGCGCCTCGGGCCGGCCTCGCCTCGCCGTCCGCGCCTCGCCCGGGCGGGCCCCGTGGGGCCTTCCCCGGGCCGCGCGCTGCTGGGGGCCGGGTCTGCCGAGGCCGCCGCGCCTGCTGCTGCCCTCCGTCGGCTGTCGTCGTGGATGCGCACGTTCTCGGCAGCCCTGGCCTGGGCAGCTCCCCGGAGCGCCGCCGACCCCGTGAGCCACTTCTCGACCTCGGTGTTGCAGCCCAGCCCAGCGCCTTCTCACTCGAATCGGTGAGCTCCTCGTGGGCCTGCGTGGGACGGTGCTTCTCCTGCTGTCCATCTTGTACCCAGCGTCCGCGAGGTTCGTGAACGTGGCCTCGTCCCACGGCAGGTTGAAGTTGGGACTGTGACCTTTGCGCTCGCCATCTGGCTTGGCACCGTCGGTCGCTGCCGCCGCCGCTGCTGCGCCAGAAGCACTTTCGATGCGCGTCAGAGCCTCCCTCCATGGCTGTGTGCTTCACCAGAACCGCTTGTGCCAAGACCTCAGCAGCCGCCGCCTCCTCTTGTTCGGCAGCCGCGAGCGGCTGCCTGGGCTTCAACATGTTCGCAACTGCAGGCCAGCCACAATTGGGGAGCTGTGGTCCTTACCCCCCTGGGGGGCCCATCGATTTCTACCCCCCCTCGAGAGATCGTCGATGCGATGGGTTCCCCCAGGGGGGGAAGGACCACAGCTCCCCCAGTTATGGCTGGTCGGAACTGCCTGACTGCGCTCGCAATCCACAGCTTACCACGCCCCCGCCGCCAGCCGAACCGCCTCCACCGCGCCTCCGGTCGCGGCCTCGCCCCGACTCGGGGTCCCCTTCTTCGGCGCGAGCTGCTGCTGCTGCTGCTGCTGCTGCAGGATGTTGCGCGGCTGCTCGTCGGTGGTGCTCTTGGACGGCCTCTTCAAGCGCTTCCACCTTGGTGAGCACCTTCGGCCTGGCTGGGTCGGGGCTCTTCTTCTCCGTGTCCCTGGCTTCTGCTTCTCACCGTCCCCGCTCGCCTTCCGTATGACGACCTTATCATTATTGTGGCAATTGGGGCAACCGTAATGGTTAGCGATCAGGCATGTGATCCACTCACTGCGAGAGCAATGACGGCACTTGGACCATCGGCCCTGAATGCGATCGACGATTCCAGACGTCTGTGCAACTCCAGATTCAGTCACCGCACTGCCGCGTCCAATGCTGCGTGTGGAGCAGCTCCCAGTGGGCCTCAAGCGCCTCGTGCAGGCACTGGAGTTGGCCATGCTCTAGACCAAGTTGCTTGAGGGATGAGGAGGGAGAAGGAGGAGGAGGAGGTAGAGGAGAAGCAGGAGGAGGAGAAGGAGGATGAGGAGGAGGAGGAGGAGGAGGAGGAGGAGGAGGAGGAGGAGGGGAAGGAGGAGGGAGGAGGAGGAGGAGAGAGGAGAGAGGAGCACGCGTGGGGTCTCATTCCCCCGAGACCCGACGCTGCGGAGACGGTGCAGCCTGGCGAACACAGCACGACCCGAGCCCCAGACCCCTCACCTTCCCGCGGCGTGCTCCGAGGCGGGTCGACCCGCGAGGGCCCCGAGGGGGCCCGCAGCACGGCGACCACGCCCCGTGTGCAGAGACTGCAGCAGCCCGGACCGCCGAGGCCTCCTCCTGCTCGCCTGCCTCTGGCGCCGGGGGCGCACGGAGCTGCCCGCGGTGAGCATCCTCGCGGCCACCGCGCTCTCCTCCGCCTGCGGCGGCGCAGTGCTCCTGGTGCACGAGGTGGGCGTCCAGGAGGCGCCCGCCGCCGGCGTGGCCTCTTCCTTCCCCCCGTTTCTCCTCGTTCTCCTCCTCCTCCCCTCCTCCTCCTCCTCTCCTCCCCCTCCTCCTCCTTCTCCTCCCCCATCCTCTTCCTCCTCCTCCCCCATCCTCCTCCTCCTCCTCCTCCTCCTCCTTCTCTAATCTCTGCGTCCCCTTCTCTGAGCCTCCCTGCCTCGGCCCCCTACTTTCTCTTCTTTGGCCACCCGACCACATTCGCACGGCCCACGGAGCGGCTCGGGCGGAGGCTGTGAGCGCCCGACTGAAGAAGAGGCCCCCCCGTCTCCAGACAGCCTTCACCCCGTCTCTGCGTTCTTTAGCCTTTAACGATTCTATGCCTGCTCTCATCGCACGACGGCTCGTCTCCTGGTTTCCTGATCTCCCTCCCCTACCCCCCGAAGAGCTCGTCGAACGATGGCAGCTGCTGAGGAGTTTTCTCGGGTCACGTCCCCCGAACCACCAGTGGCCGCACGTCAAGAGCCTTGCTGGTGCCTGGATCACGAGTCACCATGTCAAGATCCTCACATCAGCATCCGGTAGGCTCGGGTGTGCAGAGCAGGACTCGATTGCACACAATTTTTCTTGCCTGCGGCTGTGGGCGGCGGCCGACCCCACACTGATCCCGCTTCTTCCTCTCTCTCCTCTCCTTTGTCTGGGACTGGGTGGGGCGGATGGGGAGTCCTCTAGTGGGTCGGCATCGCCCGCGCTCACCGAGCGCTCATCATGACTTCTCACATGTACCACAAGCTTCGGCCTTTACAGTCGGGGCGCTGAAGAAGGAACCCTTTTCGTTGGGGAGGGGCTCGGTGTTCCTTCATTGTTTCACAGCTTGCCTCAGGTTTTCCTTGTGCTTTCGATGGGAAGTCGAAGTTTAACCCATGGGAAAAAGGGGTCTCGTTCCTTATTTAGGGTTCCTTAGGTCCACACCCCGACTGTACTCCGCCAGGGAGAGTGCGCCTCCGCGCAACTCACTTCCCAGGCCCGCGGCGCAAACGCGTGCCGCCCTTCATGTCTAACACACGACACGTCCCCCCCATGGCGACGCGTGCTCCTCCTCCTCCTCCTCCTCCTCCTCCTCCTCCTCCTCCTCCTCCCCCTCCTCAGGGACGCTCGCTCCTCCTCTCCCTCCTCGTCCTCCTCCTCCTCCTCCTCCCCTCCTCGTCGTCCTCCTCCTACCCCTCTCGTCTCGTCCCTCCTCCTCCTCCTCCTCCTCCTCCTCCTCTTCCTCTGCTTCCTCCTCCTCCTCCTCCTCCCTCCTCTTCCTCTGCTTCCTCCTCCTCCCTCCTCCTCCTCCTCCTCCTCCTCCTCATCCTCCTCCTCCCTCCTCCTCCCCTCCTCCCCCCTCCTCCTCCCTCCTCCTCCTCCTCCTCCTCCTCCTCCGCCCTCGCTGCCCTGGACGCCGCCGCCCCCAGGCGGATCGGGGCCCTCCTCCACGCGGACGACCCAGCCCTGCTGGCATCTTCCTGGGGGGGGGCCGGACGGTCCCTCCAGGTCCTAGCCGATTGGGCGTGCAGGTGGAAAGCGTCCCCGCACACCAAAGCCTCCAAGCACGCTGTTGTGGTGCATGGCTCCCAGGCTGCGCGAGCGGCTGCCGCCAGCGCCCCCCCTCTTCTGCTGCCGCTGCGCGGCCTCCCGCCGGTGCAGGTCGACCTAGCCCCCAAGCGCAGATGGCTTGGCCTTCAGTGGCCTGGTGATCTCCGCCTGCTTGGAGCACTGGAGGCGCGGCTTGCTGTGGCCTCTGCGCAGTGTGCGTCCCTGGCGGGGCACGTGGCGGCAGGTGCTCTCCCTCTGGCCGCTGCGGCGTACATCTTCGACATGGAGATTGACGCCTCCCTGCGTTTCGGGCGCTGGCTCCTGGCCACAGCCGAGGGTGCCCTTGAGCGCTTGGACTCTGCTTACGAAGGGTGGGCCAGGGCGCTCCTGGGGAGCCATCCCTGGCGTGATGGCGCTGTAGCAGTCTCAGAGCTAGGTTGGTCGCTCTCCGGTGGAGCACGGGCCATCCTTGACATCGCCTCCCGCAGAGCTGGTCTGTGGCTCCTTCCGGACGGAGACCTCTACAAGGGGACGTTTGTGCACGGCCATGTATCTCCAGGGCGCACCTGGGCGATTGTCTCGCTGGCGCTGTTGGAAGAGTGGGGTCTGCCGGAGTGGCCCGCCTGGGTCGGCGCTGCAAGGGGGGGGTCCGCCCTCCCGGCGTACAAAGCACACATCCGAGACACCCTCAAGGCCAGATGCAGCGCAGCCCTACGCCTACGACTGCACACGCGGGTCCGAGTGCCCGCCCCGCTTTCGCTCGGCCCAGTGCCCCGGGATGACCTTTCCACAGCGCTCTCTCTGCGCCTGCCCAGCACGGCCCTCTTCGGCCAGCGCTCCCTCAGTCGGCTCCGGTGCCAGCTCCTTGTCTTGAGCCACTCAGCAGGAGTCCGCTCGAGGGCCCGACGGCAGGTCTGTGTCTGCTGTCAGGGGCAGATTCTCAGCCCCATGCTGCATGTCCTGGGGAGCTGCAGCAATGGCGTGGCGAGAGCGGCATTCTGGGCAGCGCGCGGCTCCCCGCCTCCGCCGTCCAGGGAAGCAGCGGTCCGCGAGATCCTCTCGGTCCGCCCAGGGGAGGCCGGATTCGCGGAGGCAGCCACCCTCGCCAGAGACATTGACCTCGCTGTGTCGAGGTTCGGGGGCCCAGTGGCGGACTAAAAGCTCGCCTTTCCTCCGCTCGGCCCGTCCTCCTTGCCTGCGTCCCACCTCCTCTCCCTCCCTCCGGAGCCGGAGGGTCGGGCAGAGCCAGGCTGGGCACGCTGAGGTTCAGGTGGATTGGCCCCTCCCCCCTCCTCTCCCTGGGAATGGCTCTCCCCCCCTTCCTTCCGACGCCGCGCCACGCATCTGCGCCATGCACTGGCAGGGCCTCGGTCGGAAGGTCATGCAAGAGCTCCAATCGGAGAGGCCCTCCGGCTCTCCTCCGATTGGCCAATTCCCCCTCCACGGCCAGGCTTTTCTCCGACCCCCCACTTCCGAAGACGGGACGGTGCTGGGGAGGGCGGGGCCTGTAGCCCAGCTCCACCCACTCCTCCCCCTTCAGAATGCGGAGGCGGACTCAAGCTTGGTCGGCGTGGGGTCGCGCACGACGGCCCTCCCGGGCCCCAGGCGCCCCCCACGAAAAGGCGGCCACGCATGAGGCCTCCGACCGCCTCCTCTGGAGGACCAGTCCAGTCCTCCTCCTCCTCCTCCTCCTCCATCCTCATCCTCATCTCCTCCTCCCCCTCCTCCTCCCCCTCCCCCTCCTCGTCTCCCCTTTTCCTCCTCTCCTCCTCCTCCTCCTCCTCCTCCTCCTCTCCCCCTCCCCCCCCTCCTCCTCCTCTCCTCCCCCTCCTCCCCTCCCCTCCCCCTCCTCCTCTCTCCTCCTCCTCCTCCTCCTCCTCCTCCTCCTCCTCCTCCTCCTCCTCCTCCTCCTCCTCCTCCTCCCCCCCTCCTCCTCTTCCTCCCGGGCGAATGGATGGGGTGATCCCCACCCCCTCCAGGCCTATGGCCTCATCTTCTTCGGCAGCTCGCCTTTGCTCTCGATGCACGGGTGCCGACCTCTGCTCGTCGAGATGCGCATGCTCGTCTTTCTGTTGCTCTTGCTTTCCTTCTTTCGTTTTTTTCGGCGCGCTCGGGCGTGTAGGAGTGTCCTTGTTCTCCTCCCCATCCACCGCTTCCTCGACTCGTTCTAGCCCGCAGGGCGGGAGTCACAGCGGCCCCCCAGGTAGTCACAGCGGTCCCCCGGGGGGGAGCTGGTACCCAGATGCTGCAATCAGTGGGTGTTAGAGAAATTGCCTCGACGAGGGTCAGTACCAATCGTTGCAACGTATCGTTTGGGCGGGAGCGTATTTGCGCCCCTTAGGGGAATTCGGCGGTCTTGGAGGCCAGTTAAGAGTATTGGGTTCCAATGGGGCACGGCGTGCGTGAGAGGTGTGCCCGAGTGAGGCTCAAAGGGGCCGTCTCGGGGGCCAGCTGAGCGCCCGACATTCACGATGTGCGTGAGGGGTGTGCCGAATTGAGGGCCACACGAAGATAACAAAACACCCAACCGTACGTTTACGTCCCCCAGGGATCTCCCAAGAGCCTCGCGGCCCAACTCACTTGTTGTTGGGCGCTTCTCGGGAGCCCGAGAGCGCAGACCGCGCGCACCTGCACGTGCTCGTGAAGAGTGCGGGGGGGGGGGGGCAGGAAATCGTGTCTCTTCGTGGCCCTCGGAGGGCAGATCTTTCGTAGTTTCGCGTGTCCCAGCCATGAAGCAAACGACAACTCGTATCTCCTCCTCATCCTCCTCTTCCTCCTCCTCCTCTTCAGCCGCCGCTTCTGCTCAAGCCACCTTTTCAGCGGCCAAGCAGGCATCCCGCGCAGAGCAGTTCCGCCCGCAGAGAGCGCCTTCCATGACATGCCAGCCTGGCTGGCCTCCATATGTTTCATGACGATCTGGATCGGCATGCAGTTCCTCCGAGGGGGAGTATACATAATCTCGCTGTTGGCGCTGCCTCGCTGCGTCGTGTCCAGCCTCACCTACAGCGCCGTGGACGTGAAGATGCCTCCAGCTACGCGGTGGCGGTTGCTCGGCGCCAGCTCACAAGTCGACCAGCTCAAGTCTTTCAAGCAAGAAGTCTACAAGATAGGCTATGGCCGCGGACCGCTCCTCAATTGTCATGCAGGTTCGGAGTACTGGGTGAGCCAGCGGTTCGGCCCGCCTGCCGTCGTCGATCTTGAGAGCCAGCCCAAGCAGGTACAAGGACGCGCTGGTGCTCTCAGCTACCAGCGGGGCGAGCTGGAACTCGCCTTCTTCGTGGCCTACTCCCCGCCTCGTTCAGGGCTAGCGGCCAAGTCCCTCCAGTGGGTCAACACGGTCAATGAGATGCTCAAGGGGATCAACAGTACGCCTTATGCTTCACCGACGTACTGCGCAGCTTCGATAGGCACGGACCTCGCAGTTTGTTCGGTATGGAGCTGACGTA